TAATTGTTATAATAATTAATTTTATCATTATTATTATTATTATTATTATTATTATTATTATTATTATTATTATTATTGTCATTATTATTACAATTATTAATATTGTGATTTTTATGATTATGGTTATTAATATTATCAATTATGATAATGCTGATGACTGTGCTGTTTCTGTGTCTGTGTTTACAGTCCTGGGCATGGACTGGCGGAGGATGATCTTCGGCATCTGTTTCTTCCACGCCATCATTCTCGAGAGGAAGAAGTTCGGACCTCTTGGGTGGAACATTCCCGTGAGTCATTTTGTCTGTCTTCCCATCTATCTTGATATAGAAGTCGAGATGTTTGCTATTGAATGAGGGGGGGGGGGTCTCCTGATTTCAGAGATAAAATTACATTTTCTGTTCCACTGATCGACGTTTTTCAGTGTAATCCACTCAGAAATGTGTGTTTTAAATGGACAGAAAAGATGTGGAGACAAAAAACAAAAAAAAGAAGAAGAAAAATTGATAAAAATTGCAGAAGGAGCAGAAAAATGCGTGTTTCTTTGATTTCATTATTTTGACACGCGCCTGATTTCTCCAAGATGCCTTGTATTATTTGACAATACACTGTTCTATAAATACATGTTGTTCTGATTTGTCCCTTCCCCCCACCCACCCCCTCTACCCTCGGCTACCAGTATGAGTTCAGCGACAGCGACCGCAAGTGTGCCCTCCTCAACATGCAGATGTTCTATAAATACATGTTGTTCTGTTCTCTCACCACCCCCTCCCCACCCCCCCCCTCGGCTACCAGTATGAGTTCAGCGACAGTGACCGTGAGTGTGCCCTCCTCAACATGCAGATGTTCTGTGTCGACGGGTTCATGCCCTGGGACACACTCATATACATCACTGGAGAGGTACATGCTTGGACTTTTTCCTCTTCTTTTTTCCACTTTTTTTCTTTTTTTTTCTCCTCTCTTTCTTTTTTTTTTGCTTTCTTGTTTTGGTTTTTGGTTTTTTTTCTTCATATGTACACTTCCTATTTTTGAATCTATCTGTACACTTCTTTTTTTTCTCTCTATCTTTGTGGGGATCAGTCAAAATATTACCTTACCTCACCTTACCGTACCTTACCGTACCTTACCGTACCTTACCGTACCTTACTGTACTTTACCGTACCTTACCGTACCTTACCGTACCTTACCGTACCTTACCGTACCTTACCTCACCTTACCGTACCTTACCGTACCTTACTGTACCTTACCTTATCTTACCTTCCCTTATCTTACCTTATCCTATCCTATAAACTCCTGCATGTGGTTGAATGATACATCTGATCTGATATGTACATTATTTTAAGCTTCACTTTTTTTTTTCTTCATATTGAATTTTATTGAGAGTAATATATAATTAAATTTCTATGTATACCTGCATGTGTTTTTACGTTCTCGTACAGCCAAGAAAAATTTCACTCTGGGACAATAAAGTATTATCTTATCTTATCTTTTTTTTATTTTTATCTTCAAAAAAGGACATGAGACCCCCCCAAAAAAAGAAATCCCCCATAAACTGGAAAAATCTTTTGTTCCTCCCCAGATCACGTATGGTGGTCGTGTGACAGACGCACAGGACCAGAGATGTCTGCGAACCATTCTGAAGACATTCTTCCAGCCCTGTACTCTAGACCCTGAATACAAGTACTCTCCCTCTGGTAAATTGTTGTTGTTGTTGTTGTTGTTGTTGTTGTCCTAGCTAAGACATTCTTCCAGCCCTGTACTCTAGACCCTGAGTACAAGTACTCTCCCTCTGGTAAATTGTTGTTGTTGTTGTTGTTGTTGTTGTTGATATCTTAAGAAATTCTTCCAGCCTTTTACTCTAGATCTTGAATTCAAGTACTCTTTCTCTGGTGAATTATTGTTGTTTTCGTTTTTTTCTTTGTTTTTATTTCTGTTGCCGTTGTTGTTGCTGTTGTTGTTGCTGTTGTTGTTGCCGCTGTTGTTGCTGTTGTTGATGACCAAACTGATATATATATATATACATATGTGTGTTATACAGGGATCTACTACGCGCCCCAGTTTGAGACCATCACGGAGTACCGGGCCTACATTGAAGAGTTACCTCAGATCGACCAGCCGGAAATCTTTGGCATGCACGAAAATGCCAACATTGCCTTCCAGGTGAGCTACTGGTGGTGGTTGTTGTAGTTGTTGTTGTAGTTGTTGTTGTTGTTGTTGTTGCTGTGGTTGTTGTTGTTGTTGTTGTTGGTGTTGTTGTTGTTGTTGTTGTTGCATGCACGAAAACGCCAACATTGCCTTCCAGGTGAGCTAGGTGGTTTAGTTGATGATGTTGTTGTTGTTGTGTGATTTTGTCATTATCATCTTCTTTATTATCTTCACTGTCATTATCTTATCACTTTTATCATAATTTTCATCCTCATCATTGGTGTACGGCAACAACAAAAAGTATATGAAGACAGGGTTTTGGGAGGAAATTTAATGGTGTTATTATTTTTAGAAACCATCGTCATCATCATTAACGACAACAGCATCTCCATGATTTCCACCAGCACCACCACAACCACAACCACAACCACCACTATCTCCACTACCACCAACAGTACCTCAACAATTCCCACCACCACCACAATCAGTACAACAACCACCACCACCACTATCTTAACGATTCTTACCGTCACCACCACCACCACCACCACTCACGTTCCTCTCCTCCCCCCTCCCGTGCTATATATAGATGAGCGAGACGACCAAACTGATCGGCACCATCCTGGACGTGCAGCCCCGCATGTCCTCGGGTGGTTCAGGCAAGTCCAACGACGAGATTGCCGACGAACTGGCGCTCAACATCAAGGCAAAGCTCATGGATAAACTAGACATAGAGCTGGCAGCAGCCGAGATGTTCCAGGTGAGTGGACACACTGACAGACACACTGATAGACACACAGATAGACACACACAGATACACACACAGATAGACTAGACATAGAGCTGGCAGCAGCCGAGATTTTCCAGGTGAGTGGACACACTGACAGACACACTGATAGACACACAGATAGACACACACAGATACACACACAGATAGACTAGACATAGAGCTGGCAGCAGCCGAGATTTTCCAGGTGAGTGGACACACTGACAGACACACTGATAGACACACAGA